TCATCAGCGAATAAAATGCATTTGTGTTTAGTTACATCCGGAAGATTATTTATATAGACCAAGAACAACAGTGGTCCCAAAACGCTGCCCTGTGGAACTCCATATTTGTTTTCTTTAAAATCAGATATGTAATTTAGGACCACATGATTGCAGTCTGGTCTGCTTCTGTTCTGTACTGTTCTTTTATTTAAATAAATTTGAGAGTAATTTCTAACACTATAATAATGCTATAATGAAAAACAGTCTTATTAACATTGTTTATGTTATGCCCGGGAAGCACCAACGCTCCCGAGAATTCAGCAGTTTGTGAACATCATTCCTGCCATTAGATTATAGACCACAAATCCTCGCAAAAGAACACCGCGTAGATCAAACAAAAAATTAATATTCAAAAACTGAAGGTAGCCAGGCTATGACATCGGGACGTCAAACACTTCAGCCCCTGGACCCCCCCCCCCCTCTGTGACCATGGGTACTGTAAAGCACCAGAAATGTTGGGAATTAAAAAAGTTAAAATTAAACGCGATACTTTCCGCTAAATAAGAATTTCGTTGCCTTTGGTCGCTTCTGTAACAAGTACTCGGAGGAATATTATGATTCGAACATTCCTCAAATTCTTGCTCTTTTGAGTTTACAAGCTTAGAATTTGGTTTCGTTTTTTTCTTTTGTCGCTTCTTTGGCAAAATACTACGAAGAGTATCGTCTTCTGAAGATTTCGCATTAGTGTGAGTGGGGGGGGGGGGGGGGAAGATGAAAAACGGGGTAAGACAAAAAGGCATTAGTAAAGACAGATTTTGTGTAATTTATCCAATGCTGGCAACATTCATAAGAGCGCCATTTTGTTACGTACCACACCTAAGTCGGCACTTGTCGTTTTGAGGGATCGGTTGTGTGTTATAAGGGAATATCTACGCTGTGAATTTTACGCGAGCAAGTCGGGTGTTTTAATCTTACCCCGTGTCGTGTAACTTGATTTACGAGGTAGGTACGAGTTTTTTATTTGTATACATACTTATTATTTTTAATTGGAAGTTATGTTGCTATGTCTAAATATCGTTACTTTTTGGATTTTAGGATTTATTGTAACATTCCGTCTTTACCCGCCAAAATTTGACGGGGTAAGATAAACATATCAAAGTTTCCATCTTGCCCCGTTTTCAAAAGTCATACAAATGGTCTCATGTTCTCAAACTGTACCTGAAAAAATGTTTTGTTTTGTTACAGCCATTATATAAATTGTCAGCGGCACAATTTCAGCTAATATGATCTAAAAGTATTTATTTTATTTTTGTATACTATAAGAGAGGCAAAAAGAGCAAGCGGGTCACCTGATGGCTAAGTGATTTCACCGCTGCCCATAGACACAAGAAACAACAGGAGTGTTACTTGTGCGTTGCCTTCTCATAAGGTATAGGAATGAGTAGGAATTTAAAGAAAGGGGAAAGACCACCAGACACTCGTTAGTAAATGCAACATCACAGCTCCTAGAACAATGCAATGTCACATCGGTTTATCTAGCAAACGTCAACATTCGGGTGGCCTTAAGAAAAGGGGAAAAGGAACGGGCATCTGGAACTCTCACTCATCAGACGAAACATGGCAGCCACTAAGAAGCTAGCCACTTCACGCTGATTTTCTGTGAGAGGGTAGTATCGCACCGGTCGACCCTGCTTATTTATGTGTTACAGTGAACTGTAGACGTGGATCTACTACCAATTTTTTTTATTAATATTTAGAGATAATTTTTTTTAAGTTTTTCTATGTTTTTAGTTGTGGCATTTTTCTAAGATCTTATTTTTGGTTAGCTGTTTAATTTTGAAATATTTAATGTTTTACGTTTTTTGCTACATATTTTGTTGACGAAAATGGTAAAAGGTACATGTACGTAATTGTGTTTAAAATTATCTTGGCATTAAAAATAAAAAAAGTTATATGATTGATATCTTTCATTTTTTGTATAATCTTATCCAAGTAAAGTGAAAAGTTTGAGAACCTCTACTTCAATCTTTCCCCGGCGGGTCAAGATTGAAATATAAAAAACAAATAAGTTGTGTTATTTGAAGGTATTTTGATATTATAGAAAGTTCTGAAGTGTCAGGACAATTAAAATTGTAGGCTACTGACAGTCAATATCGTCTGACATTAATTTGAACGATTTTAGAAACTACTTCGATCTTTCCCCACCACCCTTTCATCTTTCTCCCTGTTTTTTCTTTCGATAAAAACATAGTAATTAATTTTTTTTTGCTTTCGAGTAAATATAACAGGGATTTATCGATATGACATAAAAATATGTTCTTTGTACTTTATTCACTATAATTATGAATTTAGCTTAAGTTAATATGTACTGTTTTATAAGACGTCAAACACAAGACTGCTCATCTCATCAAAAAACCTTTTGATCTTCCCCCCACTCACGCTACTGTGTTGCTTTTTTTTATCAAACAATTCATTAGACGTAAACAAATTGCCTATTTGACATCTGAAATAATTATAAAATATAACTAAGCTTTGGCAAGTATTTCGCCACAAATAAGTTTGCTTCAGGGCATAGGCAAGTATTTAGCCGATCATATTCAGCATTGGCAAGCTCGAAGATTCACTTTCATAATTAGATACCAATATAATAAAATAGATTAGCACAATTTTTACATGGCCAATTTTGAAAATAAAATAGATTTTGCCGGATCATCCCAAAAATTACCTCACTTACGCCATATTTCTTTCCAAATGATAGTTTTGTGCAATGGAAGAAGAACAGAGCTGTAGAAATAATTTTATTACATCGACACTAGATGGTACGAGAACCGTTGAGCCTTATTGACGATAATGATGGTTTATTTTTTGACAGCATTACGAAACGTTGCCTGACAAGTATTTTTCGTATACCAATGAAAGGGTTAATAGATCGTATGATGATATACCCGTTTGGTCCCTTAAAACTAGTGCGTGCCATTCAGGGACTATTAAGGCAGACATAAAACGTCAGAAAATGCAAAGAAACCAATGTGCAGTAACAGTATCTATCACTCGTGAGTCCACTCCAGACGGACTGTTTAGACGTACAGCTTTTCAGAAAATACATAGACCCCTTACGAGTTCTATTAGGTATAGTATATATAAAAATAAGTGGGATCTAAAATATATTAATAAATCCAAATAAAAGACGAATTTGTAGTTGACGTAAGAATACTTTATTTAACACAAATCAAACACTTTGGTACAAACAGTTAGTTGCGTAAGCAATGTCGAATCGCAATTTTAAGGTTAAAACTTATATATGTAGCATCTAGCCGTAATAAAAATGCAAAGAAAGGCGGTAGACAATATGAAATGAATCCCATCAAAACTTCAACACCAAGCAAAATTTAAAATATTTGTTTTAACTTCATCGAGCAGCTTAATTTTTAAATTTTGATTAATTTCATAATTATATTTTTACATTAATTTTAACTAGCCTTTTCATTAATCCGAAATATCTAAATGGAAGGTCATGAGAAGATCGGTTGCTAGGAAGTCGCGAAAACCTAACTACAAGCCTACTTGGCAAAGCTTATACGACGATGCACAACATATAGGGAGACACCTAGAAAACGACACGCCCGTGTCTTACATCTAATTAATTTGCATATAATAATATAGAAAGAAGATTACGGTTATCGATAAAATGCATCTTAATATAATAGGGTAATGATGGTTCATAGTTTTTTATTTAAATTTCATATCAGTTAATTGAAATTATATATTTCGAGTGTAATAATACCTACGCTACGTATTGATACATTTCGAATATATAATTTTCCGATATCTGATAGCTCATATTTTTGTTATGTATTACAATTGAGTAGGTACGTACTTATCTGTATGGATTTTAATTTTTATGAGTGTATTGTGTATTATGTCACTTAAGTCACTAGCTACAGTTAATATAGTAATTTATTTAAACAGTTGATTGATTAATTATGTTTAGTATATTACTTAATTCTAGCCTTAATAAAATAGTGTTCGTAATGTAAAAACGCAAAACATTAAAAAATATTTCACAAAATTCATGTAAGGACATGGCAATAACGCAAATGGTAAAAAGCATTACGAAACTATAACAGCAAAAAGGAAGCATCGTAGCAACATCAAAGTCGCCGGTTTTCTAAAAATTACAAACTACGAGTACACAATTAATTATAAATATTGTATGTGTTAATACACTTCAAGTAAAAATAAAATGGGTAAAAAATACAAAATATCACATTATTACATGTTGAGCTTAATTTAAATTGAAACTTAGTCAACCACCCCAAGATCCAGCTTCTTCAAAGCGTACTTTAAATTAAGCTGAACAAATAAGACAAAGTTAGATAAATAAAACTCAAAAGCTATTATTTCGTAGTTACATCTGAACTGGTTATGGCAAAGTTGGGAAGAGTGGGAACAATTTGAAAACACGTCACGTTTCTAAGGGGAATATATTTATTCAATTTGAAATAACTACCACAACCATAATTCTGTATTTGAATGGTAACACTACGCATAGTGACGCGATAGATTCACTTCGAGAGGCAAGTGATACGTAAAATAGTTCTACCCAACTTTGCCAGTTTCGCACTGTTTAGTTGATGTTACTAATGAGAATCAATGTCGATATGGCACGAATGTGCATCACAATATGGGAAATAAGTTAAAAAAATCCAGCAACTAAGTTGGGATAAATTTAAAACGCATCAAAGAAAATATCGCGACACAGCGTTAAAATACCGGAAACCCAATTAAAATTAAAAAAAATGAACAAGTCACCTTCCTGCTGACCGCAAAGATTGCAACTTAGTAAAACCTATGTTTAAGCAAACCTGGTATGTGGGCATGTAATAAAAGAATCTGCCTCGAAAAGAATCCAAGCTGTGGAAAATTGCAGCAGCAGGATGGCTGTTCATGTAGTAAATGCTAAAAAAAACTTTGGAAATGACTGTGTGCCGCTGTAACTGCGCGCTACGTTGATTTACAGGTTACACTGCCACAGTATCGTAGGCTGTGAGTCCCCGCCCGTGGACTGCTTGCTGGGGGATTGGGGTGTTTGCTTCTGGTCTGTAAAGTGTTCAATAAAAATACAGTGTTGCAATTATATAGCACAATTGACTAAACAACATTTTTATTACTTTTAACGAATCATTAATCTAATAATTACTTTGTAAATGTATGTTATATTTTTCTGTATAAGTAAATTGCTTATAATTTGTTCTATATATGTATAAACAAAATAATGATATTTATAGCAGCGATATAATCAACACAACAAAGTATATACAGCAAGAATTCCGGGGATTTCGATAAAAAAGCAAATGTTTTTAATTATCTGCTTAAATACAATCTAAAAATTCTACTTAAAATGATGTGGTTACACGTTTTATATAATTTTGGAAAAGTAGCTGAATTCTGTCTTCGGGTTTATATTGGTTAGCAAAACAAATAATAGTTGGGTGCATAACATGTGAAAGGTGGTTAGCCACAAAAGAATAATGAATATCAAAACAGTTCAGGCGAAAACAATGAACATTCAGCGTATAATTATTATTTGCTTTCCACATACTTTGACTTACTGTTTCCTGTAGACGACGGATGCAGAACATAACACATGCTTTATTACCTGCGTATGCTATTTGACATACACATTACAATAACAGTGTTATGGGTAATTTGTAAAAATATATAATATACAGAGTTATTTTGCAATAACCGGCCAAATTTTCAGAGAAAGTTCAGAATAAGTAATATAGGCAAATGGTGAAAAAATTTATTAAAATAAAATCTCGGACATTCTGTCCTTTTTATCTTTTAAATTCAAAATGCGTGGTAATGCATTATTTTAACTGGTATTACTGCGCACATTCATAAGGGTCGATCGGTAGGCAAAAACGTTGTTGCCCATAAATCACATTCAATTTGGGACTATTTCAAATAAAATGTAATGTAAACGTAGAGAAGTGTAATTTACTCGTATTTTCAAAAACTGCATTAACGGTACGAGTATACGATTATTTATATGTTTGATCTTAAGTTTTAAATTTGCCTACTCTTTGAAAAATAACCCTGTATATGTATTATATATAGTAAAATATATCCGGCTCACACACAAGGAGTCGGCTACGTTAGTAAAGCGGTAAAATTGTGTGCATATATTATGTATTATTGATACTTAGTGTGTATATGTATTAAATATATAATATGTCTACATGATAGTGATATTTTTATAAGTATTTGTAAAAAAATTAAATAACTAAAAATTATAACATATTATTACATATTGAACTTGAAATTATAACATATTATTACGTAAAATTGTGTGCATATATTATGTATTATTGATACTTAGTGTGTATATGTATTAAATATATAATATGTCTACATGTTAAAGTGATATTTTAATAAGTATTTGTAAAAAATTTAAATAACTAAAAATTATAACATATTATTACATATTGAACTTCATTTAAATGGAATTACTTTAAAGGGCTGTTTATTAGACTATTAACATTTTTATCACTATATGTGTACAAGATGTATGAATGGAGTCCCCAGGCGAATCGGCGTCAATATTTGTCATAGAAAAGTTGAGTTTGGCCACTGAAGTAATATGGTAGCATACGTACTAAAACAGGCACCACGAACAAAATCAGTACGGCAGTGCGAGGCGTGTGGAAGGATACACAAAGTACCAATTTATAGCACAAAGTAAGTTTGAGTACGTGGGCTCTAACGTGTGTGTGGTAAACGATAAAGTCTTGGTGTCTCTTCTAGTATGTTGTACATATTATTACCTCGATGAGTTCGGCTTGAATTATAAACAAAGATCATTTCCGGTTTGGAACTGACCTAGTTGCGGTAACGTTCAACCATTTCCTCTGTCAATATAAATGCAAAAGAGCTTTCGGAAAAGAGAGTACATTTTACGAGTATATTCACACAGCGTCTTTATGCGTTCGTTACGTCAGACGTTACAATAAAAAAAAATTATCTCTGAAGAGGGTACGTATTTGAGGCATTGAAATAATGAAATAATATATGTACATATTTTTATCAATATTTGTTTGGTACCGTGCCAATGTATTGTTCGAGAAGTTAGCCCTTGAGTTACCACGACATTATGAATATATCTTGCAAGTAATTTCTACACATTTGTAACTGGAAAACGTCAACGTTGCTGTTATGTAAATGTATTGGTTAATTAACTTTATTTTTAAAATAATAATTGTTTGAACTGCCGTGTCCAAACGCTCTCTACGTGTACTATACTCGATTAAAAGTATCACAAAACTAATTTAAATATCCAAATATATCTATAAATACTTTCAACTACATTATGAAAAATTAAAATAATTAAAAAAATCAAGAGAGGATTACAAACTTTGTTATTAAATTGTGTTTATAGAAAATTATGTGAAATTTAAAATAAGAATGGCATATTCCATAATTGAATAAAATGTTAGTTAAGTGATTACGTGTAAACTTCGCATGTGTATGTGTTAGGCCTGGATAAACTGACCTGTCAATGAGTTTTCTCATTTCCTCGCTGTGCAAGCCGTCCTTGGTAGTGTGGGCCCTGACTGCAACAACATACAAGTCACGACGCGCTCTACACTAGACACGTCACCCGGAGATACCTGCCCGCTACTTTGATAATTCGCACAACACCCAAAACTTTTTTTTCACCAACACATTGCAATTGAAACTTTAAGCTTCTTCGTTTTGGGTGTTATTCGAAGGTATCCAAAACATAAACTAAATATCTACAGAACCATTTTAAATAGAGTTTGTTAACACAATAACGGCTAAGCATAATATTGTGAAAGATTCGATGAAATAGAAATTTTCCCGATATCTTCAGAATCGATCATCTGAGCCGATATCGTATGCTATCACTTGGCAAAATCAATATAAACATTTAAAATTTGGCTTCAGTATTAACATTAAGGTTAATTACCTACATCAATTTTGTCAAGTGATATAATGAAATCATTCAATCCAAAAAGTAATGAAGGAAATTTTGAAAAAGAAAAATATATTAAGCCAATTGCAAGAAACTCTAGAAAGCCAGTAACAATATCACTTGTTATTACTGAAACAAATTCGCATGCTGTCAGTCACAATAATTATTATAAACAATCAAAAGAATTGATCAAAATCGTTTTACCGTCTTCTGTTCAGGCGAGGCCAATGAGCGCATAGCATGTACCAATTTTTATATTAATTTTACAATTCCTCTGGGAAATTATTTCATAATTAAGTTCTCTTATTTACAGGTATCGATGAACTAATATTCTCTTCTCGATGCCGATAAATTGTATTTACAAATGTTATATATGTTAATATCTTTTTTTTATAAATATTTTTATCTTTTTCCTAAAGGCCAGGTAATTTCAAATAACATAACCATATTATGTTTTTGCTCTAAGGATTCTAAGTAACGGTGCGTACACATTATATAACATAACATGTTGTATAACATGTTTCAGTAATGTCCATGTTGAATGTTATATAACGTGACACAAATGTTATATAACTCGAACGACATAACGATAAACGACAATGTCATACGATAATGTCATATAACATTGTTATATTGCATTGTTATTCTAATGTGTACAGTATTGTTATATGTTGCAATGTTGAAAAACAATGTTACATAATGTAAAACAAAAGTTATACAACATGTTACTTGATCTGTACGCACCCTAATTGGTCTAAGGATAAGGATATTAAGGTTACGAAAATTGTAAAAATAGTCAGAAAGTGATAATTAAATGTAGAAAATGTTAAGCATTTGGCAAACATTATATAAATTATTAGATCTTTGTAAGGGTAACCTCTTTAGTCATTACGCACCAGGGAAGTTACGTGGTTGGTCGCACTCAGCTTCTGAAATCTCGTTCGAGTCCTTGCTTTCGTTGAAAGATGAAGAGCAGTTGTTATCGTTGTTGGCGTTGCGTGGTGGGGGTGGGGGAGGCTCGGGGGATCCGCCGCATTTGCGAGTTCCTATAAAAAGATACATTTTTTAATCAATAACTAGGTACTTAAAATGGTTTGGATTCTTCATTTCGATATTTTATCTTCTTCATTTTCGACTTTTCTTTTGGGTGGCAGAGCCCAATTCCAATTTTTTCGTTAATTGCTTGATTTAAAATTATATTAATCAGACAAAATGATAGGTCTGTAGTCTACACAAAAAAAAATAGACTCAATAGAAGTACTCTACAAATTTAACTAGAACCAGTTAAACGTCCTTCCTTAATATTCTCAAATTACATGGCGATCACTAAACCACCACCAAATGGATTCATATGTTTTTTTTTTTTTCTAAAATAAATTAAAACGTGATGTTATATACACAAAGAACTCTAAAAATTAGAGTTGGTTGTATATATAAGAGATGCACGACAAGTACGGGACTTCACCATTGTCTATGAGACGTAAAAGAGCAACTAAATTAACTTTAAGCTCAGTCTAATCACGCTCGCACGTTTTATTCACATCGGAATTAAATTTCACTTAAAATTAGTATGAAGTTATGAAGTTGACGGTATTTATTGAACTAATCAGTATGTATCAGGTATCATATTAGAGAGTGCATCTGTGCTTGCGCATACACTTAGGCACTATAATCCTATCCTGCGCCGATGGCTAGTCTCCGTTGAAGACTGGCCGCCGTGACCGAAATTCGGTGTGGATAGATTATTATCATTAATATTATTACCAATGCTGGGCCGCGATCCGTAGTGGTCGGAGTAGGGGGTGCCGTAGGCGCCGGTATACTGGTCGTCCTCGGGCGCGCAGCACGCCGGCTCGTCGTACTCCGGGCCGCACGCGTACATCGGCCGCGAGTAGCGGGCGCGCTAACCACACATACAATCATTATACTTAATTAAATAAACGACAACAATAAACAATGTATTGATATTAAATGGAAGGGAATTCAAGGTATGCTTCAGTGGTCTGGTCATTGAGAAAAAATAAACGAGGAAAGAGTGACAAAGCAAATCTATGTTGCAGATGTGAACGCTAGAGTCGGGAATGGACGCCCTAGATGAAAGTTTATCGACCAAATTAGCGATATATTGAAGATGTCCCAGATTAGGAGTACCCTTAACCGACGAGCATGCGTAGGTATATGCATGTAAAAGAGGTGTGTCGGGATCGTGCCAAATGGAAGTCCGTAGTCTCTGCCTAACTATCTGGGTAACAGGCGTGAGTGTTTATGTTTATGTATATATATCTACGTTTTATTCAGTAGTGATCGTAAATATTGTTTAACTTGTATATTTATACATTGTAAGATACTGTTGGAAGAAAAATAGCCTCCTTTTAAGTTTTGTAATTTAAATATACACGATCATTTATGTTCCTTGTTCATACTATATAGCCCGACAAAAACGTAATGCGAAATCAGACGGCTTTCATAGTTAATAAATTAAAATAAATATTAGTGAAAAAAGTACACGTGTACATTCAAATCACAAAAATAAAGATGAAGTTTCACCAAGTGACAACAATCGTAAGTATAAATTATATTCTTTTAAGTTTCTTTTATTTTTTTTTAATTCTTACGTATTGGTCTTCTTCGGCGCAGGTAGCGGGGTCGTCATATTCGGGCGCGGTAGAGTAGATGGCGCTCTGTCCTCCCTGGGAATTTTTACGGGCGTAGCGACTGTTAGCACGGGGCTGGAAAATAAAAGTATTGTTATATAATGGGGTAGTTTATGGTGATTTTCCCTAATTTATTATACTCGTAGTGCGGTAACATACTAAGCAATGGAAAACTAAATGTGATGTGAAGATATCCTAAGTACTATAATTATACTTTATTGCTTAAAATCAATGCAATTCATACAAAAACAAAGATATATCGTCACAAACTATTATAGACGATATATCTTTAGTATTTCTTAGCCCCATAGCTTCCGCGTGCAACGGATTCGCCTTACCTTAGGAAGTATAGGGGGAGGAATACCCCTCTCCCTTAAAGTGGAGCCATAAAAGGGCTGCCGGTCGTGGTATTGTTGCGAAGATGTAAGTACGTATTATGTGGCCCTGCCTATATGCGGCGCAGTTGTAACTTTACTGGGTTTTAGTCGGTGCGAGTCAGACAACCCTACCCTTGCTCCCGCAAATATAATAATTAAACTTAAAGGTAAGGCAATTATAATATCATAAATTATACTTATTTACCATGCTCTGTGATCCAGCGCGCGAGTGAGCGGGGTGATGAGGGTGAGGGTGAGCCAATGTTCCAGCGTGCGCGGGGTGGTGGTGTGGGAATGCTAAGGCCTTGCTGGGGTCCATCTCTTCACGGAAGCCTAGCAGATGAAACGTCGCGTAGGGGCAGATCTCATCTTCCATGCCTGTATAATCATTTAATATTTTGTTTGTTACTGTTTAGGTAAAGTTGTATACCTTGTTAAGGATTGATTATGTTTTAATATAACATGTGAATAAATTATTGTTCCTCAATTATTCGAAAAATGTTCTTAAATCAATCACGATGCCTGGCCCGTGGGAGAAAGTAATTACAGTTTCCATAAACGACAACATACATAATATACGAGTGATAGAAAATACTTAAGAACGCTTGTGTAAATTTTGAATTTAATGATTAGGAGCAATATAATATATATATATATATATATATATATATATATATATATATATATATATATACACTAGGATTTTCTCCTATGTCGTGGAGGCAGTTTACAAACATAAATTGCACAAGGACAAACATATACTCCTTTTTCTTTTTTAATGGCTTGTATTAATCTATTGCTGTATTGGTAAAACTCATATAGTATCCGTACACCCCATCCCCTTTCTAAATCCAGCTTGCACATCCCAAATTTTTCCATCAGTTTCTTCCATAACTCTTTCAATTAACACCTTAGCATACAGTTTACCCACAATGCTAAGCAAGCTGATACCACGGTAGTTTTTACAGTCCTGCTGCGACCCCTTTCCCTTATATATTGGGACTATAACGGCTTTGCACCAGTCTTCCGGTACCCGCTTCAGTTCCCAACATAAATTAAACAAGGTGTAAAGCAGGCCTGCAACCACACCCTCACCAGCCCTTAGCATTTCGAGTGATACTCTATCATATCCGGCTGCCTTACCTGCTTTCATGCTTTTCATTGCTTTCATTATTTCATCTACACTTATCTCCCTACCTCTCTCCACTTCTTCCGGAATTTCTATTTCACTTATTTCAGACGACTCTTCACTCTTAAACACGCTTTCAAAGTATTTCTTCCATCACTTTAAATTCGAAACTTCATCATTCAACATGCAGCCATTCTCGTCTCGCATAGCATTCATTCTAGGCTGTTTTGAATTTCCCCTGATAGTTCTTACGAGCTTCCAGAACATTTTAATATTTCCCTGGAAGTTATCAGATATCCTTCTATCATTTTTATCTATCCTTTCTTGCTTTTTCCTTTCAACAACTTCTTTTACTCTCTTATTTATACGTCTAAAGTCTGCCTTTTTTCTTTCAATCTCATCATTCATACCGCCAGAATTACCAGCTTTAGTTGCTAGTAAATCTAGCCATGCTCTCTTCTTTGCTTCAACTTCCATCCGTACCTCATCATCCCACCACAACGTATTGCTTTTCCTTTCATTCGTTCTCTTACTTACACCACATACTTCGGTGGCTGCATCCACCAAAACTTTCTTAATATTATTCCATACATTCTTCAATTCTAAATCTTTCATACATAATTCATTCAACCCACTTATATTTTCCCTCAGTCTGCATTTATATTTCTCTTTCACACCTTCATCTTGTAACCTCTCTATTCTTATACGCTGTAACGCAGTGGTAGACACAGATGTCCGATGCCGCCAACGTCTGAATAGACCATTAATTCGGCATAAGACCAAGTAATGATCCGTCCCTACGTTGGACCCCCGGTAAACCCTTGTATCTACCACTGCGCTCCTCATTCTTTCATCCACAATTATAAAATCTATCATGCTTCTATCATCCCCTCTTTGCCATGTATACATGTGAATCCTCTTATGGCGAAAGAAAGTGTTCGCCACAAAAAGATTCTTTTCCACACATACGGTGAGGAGGTCTTCACCATTCTCATTTATTCTTTCATCGCCAAACGTTCCTAATAAATATCCTTTCATAACCAGACCTCTTCACCCCAACCCTTCCATTAAAATCTCCTAACATAATAATATTTTCATATTCCTTACATTTCATCAACACCAGCCTTACCATGTCCCAAAACTGCTCTCGGATATAAGTGGGCTTAGACATATCTGGGGCGTACACCCCTAGCACAAACAACTTCTTTAAGCCCACTTTCATTCGTATCCATAGCAGCCTTGGGCTAACACTTTCATACTCTTTCACACATTGACCCATTCTTTCTGAAAGGATGACACCGACTCCCTGGCATGCCCTCTCGGTCTCGTCTACTCCAGACCAGTAAGCGGTATACATGCCATGTGCAGTGACATCTCTTCCCTTTCGTTTCGTCTCGTTCACACATAACACATCTATTCCTCTATCATTCATCATTTCGCATACTTCATCCATCTTATCATTCATTGCTCCACATACATTCAGCGTAGCCAGACGGGCCTCCGCAATCCACTTTTCGCCCCCCCGGGAGACAGGACGTGACGGGTGGTGAACCTCGTCGCCGATCAAGCGGATCAAGTCTTTTCCATGCGCATGATAGCGGAGAAGTTTTTGGCTAAAAACCAGAAAGTTTTTTGTGCGTTCATGGACTTGGAAAAGACTTATGACAGAGTGGACAGGAATGTGTTATGGCAAACACTGAACTCATTTGGGTTGAGCGCTGGCTTGATACAGGCATTAAGGTCTCTTTATACGGACTCTAGTGCTTGTGTCAGGATCAACGGGGTCTACTAGGACTAGTTTGGTATTCATAAAGGTGTCCGACAGGGATGTGTGGCTTCCCCGTGGCTGTTTAACCTATTTATGGACAGTTGTTTGCAAACTTTGAAAATTGAAGAATGTGGATTGAGAATGGGTGAGTCAATCGTCAAATGCCTTTTGTACGCCGATGATCAAGTCATGTTTGCATCGTCGGCGGCCGAGTTGCAAATGATGGTTACTTTAATGAATTGGTCATTAAAAGAAAGGGATATGAAAGTGAACGCAAGTAAGACGAAAGTGATGGTTTTTGAAAGAGAAGAAAGTAAAACTTTATGTGAAATAAGAATAGAAGGGGAGTTGATTGAGCAAGTGGATGAGTTTGTATATTTGGGATGTTTATTTAGCAGGGATGGTAGATATGATAAGGATATAGAACGACGAGTGAACGCAGGAAATAGAGTGAATGGGGCTCTACACGCTATTATGAGGAGTCAAAATGTGTCAACTAAGGCACGTATGGCAATTCATAATGCTGTGTTAGTCCCTATTTTAATGTATGGTAGTGAAAGTTGGGTCTGGCAGAAGAAGCATTAGAGTAGAATAAATGCTGTAGAAATGCGTTCCTTAAGGAGTATGCTAGGGCTGAATCTGAATGACAGGGTGAAAAATAGTGTGATAAGAGAAAAGTGTGGTTTGCAAGATGACGTTGTGACAAGGATTAAGAAAGGAATGCTTCGGTGGTTTGGTCATGTAGAAAGAATGAACGAGGAAAGAGTGACTAAGCAAATTTATGTTGCAGAAGTGAACGGCAGCGTCGGGAAGGGACGCCCTAGACGAAGGTTTATCGACCAAATCGGCGATACATTAAAAATGGGCCAGATTAGGAGTACCCTTAACCGACGAGCGTGTATGCGTAGATATATGGATGTAAAAGAGGCGAGAGAGGTCTGTCAGGATCGCGCCAAATGGAAGTCCGTAGTCTCTGCCTACCCCTCTGGGTGACAGGCGTGAGTGTTTTATGTTTATGTCATATAGTATCCATAAAGTAACCTCTATTCAGTAGTAGAGTTGTTTATTGACTGCTACAGACTGCTATAATGACAGATTATCTGTGTCAATATGAGATTTAACAAAAATGTCACAGCGAAACGGTGGTATCAGAACAGTCACAAAGTTAAGCAATTAAGTGCAGCATTTTTTTTAATTTAGAGAATGCTTCTGTGCTACCACGGCTCAGATGGTTAGCGCTCGCTGTAAATTTCACAGTACGCGAGCAACCTGGGTTCGATCCCCGCCGGCACCAATAAAATTGTTAATTGCTATTTTAAGTGCTGATTTACCACGTGCCGACGGTGAAGTGAAACATCGTGAGGAAACCTGCATGTCTGTGAAATAAGAAAAAAATATTTTGAAGACATGTGAAGTTCGGCAACACGCATTGGGGCAGCGCAGCGGATATTTCCTTGCCCTAAAACTGTAACTGTAACTAACTTTTAGAGAATTGATATTTCCAGCACTAATTATGATTGAGGGTTAGTAATATGACTTAAGTAACTTAACTGAGAGGTTGACTTAGATTGGGAAGAATGTGGTAGTTCCTATTCTTCGTTGTTTTTATAATTAGCCCGTCTACAGCTGGATATGGACTTCTTCCATTTTAAGAGGAATATGTGATGATCACCACGCGTTGCAAACGATCTGGCGATTGTAGTACGGCGACGTCTCGTACTTATGATACTGCTCTCTGTCGCAGAGGTATCTGACCGCCGAGTTCAGGTTCCGCCGAGATGTACAAGATGATTACATCGCCATATTAGGTATACTCGTCGTCTCTTACAATGCTCAAGATGGAACAGTACGAGCATAAGATGACGGATTCTCTTTTACGCCGTTACCACACGGCACCAGTTCTTGTTAGTCTCTATTAAGAATGTTCAAATTCTTAGTAAAAACTGGCATCACCCCTTTTCTGTTTAATAATATTGCTATACATTACCGTTAGAGCCTATTAAATCATATAAAAATACGATGCTGAACATAGGCCTCCCGTATAGCAATCTATAGGGGAGGCCATCCTGAGCGGTTGCAATTTTGGTTTGGTTTTTGAATTAGTTTTTGGTTTGGTTGTTGAATATTTATCACGCTTGGCAAACGGATTGGCAACCGCAGTTTTTTTTTATTTTGAGTCGTTATTAGTAAGATGCTGCTGCCCATCTGCTGATATGTTTTCCTCTGTCGCCTCTTACGACACCCACGGCATGATATAGGAGTAGGTAGTGAATATTCTTACACCGCCACTAATATAGTTCTTTTCAGTTTGCTCTAAATTACTTGATGTTATAATATATTGCTGTAGTGTCTACTAGCCTATTAAATGTAAACGAGGAAGTTATTACATACAGTGTTTAGTTTTTAGTACATCATGCACACACGTATATATTAAATACATACACGAAAAAGTTCACATCTTTCATGCGTTAATTCTCAGCG